TACCTTCACCTGTTTAAGCCTCAGCCCATTATTCACAGAAATGTCAGCAGTCTTAATGTATTTCTCAATCCTTCAACAAGTGATGCTGAATTCACAGCTAAACTGAGTAGCTATGGTACAACTATTGATCTTGAAGGTACTGTGGGCAATGCTGCATATGCTTCACCTGAGGCTCGTGATCCTGATCAGCAAAGTCCCGCAATGGATGTCTACAGTTACTCTGTTCTTCTTCTGGAAATGACTATCACCAGACCACCAGCAACATCACTCTCTGAGAGAAATCGACAAGTTCAAACTGCTAGTACTGCCTGGCCTGCAATGAAGCCTATCATTGAAGATGGTATCGCTGTTGATCCAAGAGCCCGTCCTACAATGAGCATCATAATGGAAAAATTAAAAAAGATTATTGTTTCTCCTAGAGACTTTCCCAAACGTTCCGATAGACCTACTAATTAATATACTCATTTTATCAGTTTCAAAACCCTTAACATATTAACATTTGCTCATATACATTCAACTTTAAATAATAATTATTGTTATTTGTTGATATAAACTTGGCAAAATTAGAGTGGGGTTCACATGTCTGGAACTCAATGTTGAGGTTTAGAATAGTTTACTTTGCAATTTTAATTGATAATAGATATCATGATAAATTGCAAAAAGTGAAACTTTTTCATTTTTATAACTTTGCCTATTACATATACATTTTTTTAGGTTGTATAAAAAGTTTGAACTAATTTCAATCAAGTTCTAATTTTTTTACAAATTTTTAAAATTATTAAAAAAATTCCTTTAGGTCAAATTTTATCAAAAATGAAACGGAGAAAAATTCCCATTTTTTATGCATCTACATGTTCCTATGCTGCATGTCATTGAATTATTGTGTGTTATGCTACAAAACTTGCAAGAGTATAGAACTATTTATGCTATGCATTGCCTGCCAATTGTTGGTTGCAGTTCATGGATGCAGGCATGCAAAGAAAATGACAAAATGTATCATTTTATTTCTTATATTGAGTCTGATTATTTTAAATTTGCTGAGGATTCAGTTTTCTTCAGCTATTTTTTGCAGAAATTGCTGTCATTAAATACTAAATAATAATGATAATCCTAAATTACATAAATTAAGAGCAAAGTTTATGCAATTTGCATTATGCAATACTATGTAACTCAGATAAATGTAAACATCATGTAGATTTATAAAGTTTCACTCATGACCATGTGAGCTTATTTAACAAGGCTCCTGTAGCAAGGTTAATATCCTGAATTATAAAATGTTGCATAACATTAATTTGTAACTTTACTGGGCTGTATAATAATAGTTGCATGGATTTAGTGCAAGTAGCATCATACTCATGCAACCATAATTATTTTTTATTCAAAGGCTGCAGGTGAGTGACCAAGTAAATTTATCTACCAAGGCCTCCATATTAAGATAACCTTGTTAGATTTCCCATATATCCTGAATTATGAAATATTGCATAACATTCATACAATCATATGATCTTCTATAAATAGAGCAGATTGCTTATGATTTAGTTTATCTAGCAGATTAGCAACTTCAACATTTGCTACAGCTAGAGTATGAAGCTATTGCTTTTCTTTGCAGTCTTTGTTCCCATTGCTTTTGGAGAGAGTCGAGAATACTACATATCAAGCGATAATGCTACTGTATCCTGTCTTGATCGGCCTTGCTACAGTTTGCAATACTATTGCAACAACTATCAAGAATTTTTTGTGGACAACACTACTTTTTTCTTCATGGAAGGCACTCATTGGCTTGACAAGTCTCATTTGGTTTTAATTGAAGGAATTTCCAATATTGCTCTACGAGGTATGAATTATAGTTTAGAAGAGGGGTCTCATGAAACTATCAGGCAATCGACTGTGTTCATTAATTGCAATCATTCAAACAGTGGATTCGTGTTTTACAATTGTTCAAAGGTTAGCATAATTGGTATTACACTTGTTAACTGTGGGGGCCTTATTCCTGATGATATAACTAAGAATATA